AGATGGTGCTTATGGTGGTCAGCAGTATTACGGACAACAAACTTCTCCCTCTCGTCCTGCTAATGTTACATATCCAAAGCCCTCTCTACCACCAGTTCCATCAAGACCGCAGCCGTCACCTGGTTACTCTTCCACAACTTCATATTCAACAACAGAACCAGCACCGTCCATGAGTAGCAGTGGTGGTTTTGGCTCCAACTATTCAGGTGGTGAGATCCTTCCATCTCCTTCCCCTGGGATTGCATTAGGTCTCTCAAATACTACTTTCACATATGAGGAATTAACGAGGGCAACGGAAGGGTTCTCAGATGCAAACCATCTTGGAGAAGGTGGTTTTGGGTGTGTGCACAAAGGAATCCTACCAAATGGGAAAGAAGTAGCAGTCAAGCATCTGAAGGCTGGAAGTGTACAGGGAGAACGAGAATTTCAGGCAGAAGTCGAGATTATCAACCGAGTTCATCACAAGCATCTTGTTTCTTTGGTTGGATACTGCATCACTGGATCACATAGAATGCTTGTTTACGAGTTTGTTCCTAACAAGACTCTGGAATTTCACTTGCATGGTAAGTTTGTGTTTTGAGTTTCAATTAAGAGAAATATATCTTGGATAGTTACTTTTTGGTAAATTTTCACATGAAATTTCTTCATTTTCTGTTAAAAGATTCTTCACTTCTCTGGTTTCAGTTCTCACAGTTGACTGTTCATTCTTTTGCTCATTTTAGGTGAGGGGCAACCCACAATGGATTGGCCAACAAGGATGAAAATTGCTTTAGGGTCTGCAAAAGGACTGGCATATTTACATGAAGATTGTATGTGTCCCTTGCTCCCTCTCCCTTACTCTCTCTAGATGATAGAATTTAAATCTTTCTCCATGTATGCTGCAGGTCATCCTAAGATCATTCATCGTGACATCAAAGCTGCTAATATTCTTTTGGATTTCAAATTTGAGGCAAAGGTATCGATTTCCACCATTATCTTGTTGTGAACGAAGATGAAAACTTGTACAACTTGAAAGGAAAGTGAATCCCTGTCTATATGGTTGATGTAGGATATGCATTTGCTTCACATCCCCTTTTCAATGCTTATCATTTTTTTTTTTTTTTGTGGAAAAGTATTGTGCGCAGTGCAAGTGCAAGTTGTGGACTCACTTTGTGTTGCATGTGTTTTGAATTTTTTGATGCTCATTCAAATATGCATTTACTCCCTGTTGACTAAGAGATGATCTAAAATTTTGTTCCCAGGTTTCTGATTTTGGACTTGCAAAGTTTTGTTCCGATGTCAATACTCATATCTCCACCAGGGTGATGGGAACTTTTGGGTAAGAACATCCCTTCAGCTTTTGTGTTCTAGTTCTTTCAGCTGTGCTTGATTTCTAGCTTGATGACTTGCAGCATATGTCATTAAGCATTTAATCAGTTCCATACATGGACTTACCTTCTCACCACATCCAGGTACTTGGCTCCCGAATATGCTTCTAGTGGGAAACTCACCGACAAATCGGACGTTTTCTCCTTTGGAGTCATGCTTTTGGAGCTGATCACTGGGCGGCGACCCACT